CGCCGGGTTGGATCCGCCCACGTCCTGCCCCGGCCGCCATGTCAAGAGGGTCGTCCCGGCTCTGCCCCGCCGTAGCGAGCGTGGCGCTGCGAGGCACCCTTGGCCGCCATGATGAGTGTGGCAGCTCCTTTACCTCCCTTGGCGAGTCGGGCCGATGCCATGTAATTAGGGGTTTCCACGATTTTAATCCGCTCTTCGCTCTAGAAGCCTTCTGGAATAGACAGAGCCTGTCTCCTCCTAGCCTAGAGCTCAGCCTGCAGCAGCCCAGAGGCAGGAAGGAGGCCGGGGCTGCTGCCTCAGCCTTCCCTTGCCTTGCTCTGCCTTGTGGCTCCACGTCACCTTACCACGCCTCACCACCTTTCCTCACCTCACCTCGCCTCACCATCAGGCTGCTCCAGCGAAGGGCTGTGCGTGGCTGACCAGGCACGAAGCAGCTGCTCCTGCCCCGCAGCCTCCTCTCAGGCCTTATTGCCATGCTCTCCCTCACCCGGGTCGGGTGCCCCCAGGTGTCCTGCAGTCCCCTCACCGCCGGCCGGGGCTCCCAGTCTCTGGCACTGTGCTGCTCTTCCTGGCACGATCTTCATGCCAGTGGCGCGGCCGCTGGTGAGGCGGCAGGGCTGGTGAGGCGTCGCGCTGGCAGAGAGCAGTCACCGTGCAGCTGGTGCTGTAAACACCAACACCTCCTGAAATTAAATGGAAAAGGACAATAGGTGTGTTTGCTTTGAAAATAACTTGTAATTTGTAAGTTTCAAGAAGGCGCATGCCTTTCTGGTTATCTATGTTGCTGTGGAGATACTAATGAGACTGCCAAGCAGCCTACATGCCAGTCACGCCTGGGCCTCCAGAGATCAGAGTGCAGAGCTGCCAAAATCACGCAGCTGAATAAACAGTAGTTTATCTCAGGGGTGCATGGGGAGGACAAGCGGCAGCAGCCACGTGTTGTGGCAGGCGAAGTTCTGCGTGGCTGTGAGGAACGTGTTCCGTTCCACATGAGGGCGGTTCTGCCGTCTCCAGCCCTGGAGGCCACTCTGTTGTGACTGGATGAGGCTTGGGTGACCTGACCCAACGTTGAAGCTGTGCTTTAGTGGGAGGTTGGGCTCAATGCAGTCTCTTCCAGCCCAAATTATTCTGTAGTTCATTGTGTGAAGGGGAAGTTAATAGCAAGATGAGAATGATCTGTACATTGTAATTGCAAGTGGCTATAAGCCTGATTAGACTATTAGTAAGTTACAGCAACTTCAGGAGCAGAGTTACAGAGTCAAATAATTTGGAAATGGAGAGGTAATTAATTAACATTGTTCCTCCTTTTTTTTTTTTTTTTTTTTTAACAAGTGGTGAAAGAGTTTGCCTTCTCAACTCAAGGCCAGACTCTGACCCGAGGAAACCTCTGTAAGCTTGTGGTGGGATACTCCTCTAAGTGGTTTAGTACTGTATTTAAACCTGCATTTTATCTCTTTCTGATTGCACTGGTGGCCATGGGTCAGCCTCAGAACTTGCTTGAACTAAGAAATGATTAGCAGGTTCAAAGCCATATATTGCCAGTGTTAAAAATGTATATATACATATGTAAATGAAACCAGTGTTGTAATCAATGCTCTGTCTCTCTTTTTCTACATAACAAAGTGAAAAAGAAGTAAAAGAGTTTTTTAACTTTCCAGTTTAGACACTTTTATCACTCCAGAGACCTTATCAGGAGTGATTTGTTTGTTTAAGTGACTTAAATATTTTTCTTTTTTAACCCTTCCTGTCCTGTGTTCGAACCACATACATTTTGGCTGTGCCGTTTTTAATGTTAAGGTGATCTTTTTGCTCCCCCAGGGCTTGTTTTTATCACAGGACAGCTCTTGGTTGTATATAGCGTATGTGTGCAATTTGCAAGGGATGATGCTCTGGGCTTTATGTATTTATTTGGTTTTGGTTTATGGTCATTCTCCTTTGGACAGTTGCAAAGCATATTTGCTATATTAGTTGTGCCATCATCTCAAATCTATAAACAGTGACAGTGTATGGCAGCTAATACAATCAAGTCCTGAAGGGTAGGGTGTATGTGGTACAGGTTGAAAGGACGGATGTGGTGTCAGTTGAAGTAACAAGCTGTTTGCTTTTGAAAGCTTCTCTTTTGCAGGTGTTTTCTGTTAGAAAACTCTTACCCTGTTAAAGCAACGCATTTTGGTAGCATTACTTTTATCGTTAAAACTACAAGAGTGGTAAGAAATCAGCACCGCCATCGCATGGGGACTGCAGTCTTGTGCATGACCAGTGGCCCAGAGGGAATAAGGGATCATCTGGACTGTCCCATGGTTTTTGCGTGGTAGCAGCAGGGTCAGGAAGGGATGAGTGAGAGTGGCTTCTTGGGGTAGAGGAAGACAAAGAGAGGAGGAACAACAGCAGCAAAGTGGTTGCAGAGCCAACAGGTCCAGGCTGCAGAACGACCTTCAGCCAGGAACCAGGGAGGTCTGTCCTGCCTCGGGGCATGTCTGAAATCAGAAACAGTTTTGTTTGGTAATGTTATCCACTGGATGGGCATCTGTCTGCACTGATTACTGGTTGCAGGGCTTAAATGCTGCCAGGGAAATATAAAGAATATAAAGAAAATGGAAAACAAACACAGCCCCTACCCTTTTTTTTTTCACTGCCCCTTGTTTTACTCACTGGAGATGTGCATTTCAGGAGAGGCTCTAGGGATCTCTGCTCCTGCCTTGTGTGGCCTATTGATATGTGACCCATCACTGGGCTCCCAGTCCTCACTGAGACACCAGACCCACTCCCTGGCCCCTAAGGATTCAAATACCAGCACTGCATACTTTGCTTTCTAAGTAGTAAAGGTTTTCTTTGCGTGCTTGTCTTAAGAAGATCTGGAAAATAAAACACCTTTCAGTCAGTCCATCATGCACCATGCTATCAAAGTTTATTCTTCTTGCCACTTTACATCTCCCTGTGTATTGAATTGAAATGTCACCATCTAGATTCAGACCACATACACACCTTTCTGTTGAGGAATGCTCACCCACAGTGAGGAGCTCAGGATATCATCACCTCTAACAGGTGCTTTAATACAGGACAGTCATTTTAAGGGTGGGACAAGGACTCTTACAGTGGTATTTGTAGTCCTGCTATACCATGGTTGAATTTGGGTCAGGGTGGAGGAAGGTCATTATTCTGTATTTGTGAAATCTAGTTTCCAAGCTTCCTCACTTTGAAACCTACAATATGTTAAATTATTGTATTTTAACGACAATTTTGTGTTTACAACTTTGACATATGTCCTCCTCACAGTGATGGTGCAGAGCATATAGTTTTATCTTCCTTACTGCCAGGAATGAATTGTGATTGCACAGCTCATACCTGTGTAATAGGCAGAAACATTCATTTGGATTATTGGCCTGCCCATGTGGTGTGAAGTCTGCTTTAATTTGTTGCTTAATTGAAATTTATCATTTATTTCAGATATTCTCTGTTGACAGTTATGTGTGTTTTGAAGAGGTTACGCAATCACTTGAGAGCCAAATGCTTCCTCCTCAATGTGAGATTAAACTTTTATAGTGGAATATACACATTTTTAAGAGTCGAATAAACTTAATCCTTGTTTCCTTGTGCAAATTCCGACTGTTGCAGTCATTTAAAATGAATGATTATGGGAGGAGGCTTGAATTATTTTCCTTTATTTTTTCATGCAGAAAACTTGCATATTCCTTCACAATGTGAGCTGCATCCTAAAACAAATCCTGTCTTCAATTGTTTGCCTGTCTTGTATGGACACAGGCCTCCTTTCATGAAAGTGGTGTGTTGGTGACAAGTGCAACAAAAGTTTCAGGTAAAACAATCATTGTGAAAATTGTAACAGCATTTTTCTGTATTGCTTTGGAGTCTGATGGTGCGTGAGCAGCTCAGTGGCACTGTCAAAGCAAATTATATGTCAGTGGTTGCCAGGTTAATCTGAGCATCTTTGGTACTAACTTACATGATTTTGTTGTAATTTTCTCGAGTCGTCCATTTCACTGGAACTTCACTGTAGCAAAAAGCCATGCCTGAGCCTTTGTGCAACAGTCGGGCAGAGCTTTGGCCCCGGGTCCTTGATTTTTAGAATGGGGGGAAAGGTCCTAAAGAGTACGAAACTTTCACTTGTTTGATCAAACTGGTCCTCACAAAGTGCTGACACCAGTATCTAGCAGGCAGGTAGATGAAACAGGTTAGAAACATATCGTAAACGTGAGTATTGAAGTTTATTTTGTTTTGAATTTGTATTGATAGACATTGTAATTGGGAGAGAAATAATTTGTTAAAGCATTTGATAGTTTTAATTTTAAAAGAATTTTCAGCTAGCACACAAGTAAAGAACGGATGAAACATGGCAAATTCAAATTAGAGAATTCCTCAGTTGGGTCCTCTGCTTTTGCTCTGCTGGTATTTTTTCATGGTAAACATGTAGAGTAGTAAAGTGTTCCTAAGAAAATACTTGGATGTCATACAATATTTAAGTATTCCGATTATTTAATGAGATTTAGATTCCAGTTTTACAATTCCCTTATGTGATAAATTATTTTGTAGTTATGCATCTTTTTGACATTTTTGTAAAGGTCAGGCTTGTGTAAAGATAACTCCATATACTGTATGTTTATAAACTGTTTCAACAGGTTTCTAATATCAGAAAATTTGGGAGGCTTCTTTGAAAAACGTCGTCTGTCAGAAGAATGGCATCGTCTTTACAGATTTGTGCATTGCTGCTGGCTTTAGCAGGATTCACCATTTTACTTGTTACTACCATGTCTAACAGGTGGAAAATTTCGGACACTGCAACAGTGCTAGTTACTGCAGACTGGATTTCTGAAGGTCTTTGGATGGACTGTGCAGTGACTGCTTTTGGATCAGTACAGTGCAAGAAATTTCTCTACATGTTGAGTTCAGAAAGTAAGTGCATATGGTATATGTATATAAAATCCAGGGATGTACCTTTATTCCTTCTTTCTGGACAGTATGTTAGCACGGTTGGACAGCATATACTGTGGTTGTCACAGAAGGTCTATTATGGACAGGATTTGTTCTGTAGTACTTGCAGACAGGTTAAGGGACACCAGTGAAACCCATATGCCTCACCCTGCAATTCAGCTCAGTAACTGCTGTGGCTTTACTGCCATCTCTGTTGTGTTGGCATAGAGGTATGGGTGATATACAATGACTCTAAGATTTGTTTTGTTTTGGAAGAAATAGTACCCTTTTACTCTGCCTAATTCTTAACTACAAGCAGATCATAGGTCAACGACTGCTGGTGCTTGTTTGTGCTTTGGTGTGAAACAGGGCTTCATAGATATTCCAGAACTTGTTTGATACTTTGTGCTAAATCTGTGTATTTGTTCTGAAATGTCTCAGAAGTGACCAGCTTAAAATATGTCTGTGTGATGCTGATGCTTTTGTATTTTCTGAGGTAGACTGTGCTAGCAAGGTAGTTTATCGGCAAATAGAAAGAGAAGAATTGTCTTTGTAGGGACTGACAATTATTTGTTTGGATTATTCTGAATTTTTAAAATATCTTTCTGTAAATACCTTTTTTATGGTAAAGGACTAGGAAGGACCAACATTTAAGTTCTTTCCTCAGAAAAATGCATGTAGAAACTCTAACAGTATAGCTTTTGAAAACTGGCATTTCATTAAGCTTTCTGTCTTAAACAGAACTTTGTATTTATTCTTTTACAACTTTCAGTATTATGCAGTCACTTTATGAGTTATATCATGGAATCATTTCTTCAAGCCTTCCCTGCTTTATAGATCCCTGATTACTGTCATTGCTATTTGTCTGGACTCCTTCCAGCTGATTTATTCCAGATGCACAGTGCTCAAACTTACAAATACCACGTCTCATAGACTATGAACGCTTGCTTTTTTTGACACAGACATGGACTCCACTGAAATCAGAGCTGCCTAACTGTAAGGCAGATCTCTAAATTGTGAGAGTTTAACTCTCAAGAGTTAACTCTCAAGATTCAGCATATTTGTGGTTCTTCCTTAGGGCCCTGACTTCAGTGGCCTCATCTGCTTTCATACAGATGGTGCCAGTTTAAGAATAAGTATCAGCATCTTGTAATGAGGCCAAAATTTGTAGCCTCAAAAGGAGGCTAATCATATCCTTTCAAGGATTTTAAAAACTCTGCTTGTTATGTCAGAGACAATGTCAGCTTTTCATACCGTTCTGGTACACAGTATCAGAATGCTCCTCCCCAAGACTTCCTCTAAGTAGATGCCAGGATGCCTAAGTTTCATCTAGAAACTTAGATACAATTTCTGGAAATGAGAGTGATGAGATGGGGCCAACAATCCTTCTGTTCTTGTACATGGTAGCAAGATGGCATGGATGCCTACGGTGGTGTGGCAGCTCTGCCTTGCCTCGTCTAACAGGGAGAAACAGATGTTTCAGGCCTGTTACGGAGACAAGAAGAGTCAATGTGGGACAGCATCCTTTTTTTTAAATGCAGTTTCATTACACCCAACATGGAAAGAAAATATTCCCCAGGAACAGAAGAGTTCCTGGTGAACTGAAGCAGTCACCTCCCCGAGGCTTCTCTTCCCTCCCTTCCTGTGGCTCCCATAATTGGAACAGAGAACCGCTGGTTGGCAGGGCTCGGTGGATAATCTTCAGCTGTTCAAAGTGTCCTCTAAAATCAGCGCGGGGTTCCTCATACCAACTGATGAGCACGTCATGTGGCTTCCTGGAGAGTAATTGCTGTCTGTCATGAGGCTGTTTCTCTTTCTGCAGTGCTCAGTCAGCATTCCTGGGTTTTGAAACAAATCTGCAGAAATGGCCGGGAAGGTACAGCTCATGTTGATCAAACATTTAGGGGGTTAATATTTTCAGTATTTTTCTCCCAACTGTATTGGCTGATCTGATTTTAAAAAATACTATTTCTGCCTGTAAACCCTCTCTCAACCATATTACATGCTCTGTTCTCTCAACCATAAATATGCTCTGTTCTGAGCATATCAAAGCGGTTAGGAGCAATTTCTCCCTGTGGTCATATATTGCTATGGTCATATACAGTCACATCTTGGCATGTCAATGTTAGCATTTCACTTACATCAAGAGTACACTTTTGTAGTGAATTTTCCAGTTATTCCCATTTACTGCACTTGGTTTGCGTTGCGGAGTGGTCTTGCAGTGGCCAAACTGGTTTCCTCGTGGATGAAGCAAAGCAGGGAAATGTGCTCCAAGAACGCACCTCCTGACTTCCAGCCGTTGGTGGGTGTTCAGTTCGCCTGACCGAGTTTTAGAGTAAGTCTGAAGGAAAACTCCCAGGTCGTGAATGGTGTTAATGTGAAGCTATCAACACCAACTCTTTTACTCTGATAAAAGAGCCTCCTGCAGAGCAGCATTTGCTGTTATGTCCATCACTTACCAAACCATAGTTTACTAAATTTAATGAAGAATAACCCTAGGTTCTTCAACACCATTGAAGAGTGATTTACTTAAGAGAATTATTAAAATGCCTGGTGCCATATAGGAAAAACTCATGCATTCCAGGTCTGCAGTATAATCTTTTCCGTTTATATGTGTGCTTTATGACTGCCTGTTGAAATAGCTTTCTTAATTAGGAAGAGGTATTTTTTTATAAATGAAATCCTTAAATATTTTTTTATCCTTGGCAGCAGTATAAAATCTGAGGACGCTTGATTCAAGATCCCACTAAACTCAACTTTTAAAGTGCTGTCAGCAGAAGTGATCGCTGAGGACACCAGGGTGGCACCTGTGTATAGATAATTAATTTGAAACTCTCTGAAGGGTTTTTAATGGGATGCAGATACTCCAGTACCTGGTACAGTGTGTTCATTTTACTATGCCATCGTTTTTCAAATTGCAGTGACTTAGCAAAAGGAGGGAATTCTGTAAAAGTCACCCAAGAAGATAAATTCTTACCCACACCATCTAGTTTCTTTAAAAGGTTGCAAGTACAGAGCTGCACAGAATCACGCTGGCTGTGCTGCCAAATCTGTTCTTATTTAAACCAAAGGCAATGACCCTCTTGGCTGCCAAGGGAGCAAAAATGTTGTAGTATCCTTTTGCAGCTAAGCCTACCAACCTAGAGCATCAGTTCAAAGTGACCAGTGAATTTTGAAAAAAAAACCCGAAAATAGATATCTGTTATGGGCAAGTTGTGACCCTCTCAATGGCTAGTCCTTCTGGTAGTCTTTATGCAAATGCAGTGAATCTGTTACGATGTTGCATCATAGCAGGATTATTTTATGAAGAAACTCTGACTCCATTTCCTGGAGATAAGAGCAGGTTATCACTGCAAGAGACGGTTAACTCCATTTGGATACACAAGCAGTTTAAGGTATTAACATTAGTGGGTGATGTGAATTGAGTCTATGATTTTGGCTAGTCAAGAGCAGAAGCAAGTAAACCAAGTTTAACATACTTCTACTTTGCCTAGAATAGATTTTTTTTTTAATACTAAGATATTCTGACAAACAGAGGCAATCAGCTGATATGTATTATTTTTCATATAGCTGTTTTCCTTCATCATTTTATTCCTTTTGAGATAGGTCTGTCACACTGGCTCATTCATTCCCTTATATTTAATTTCCATGAAACATACATTATTACAATTGTATTCCAGTGTAACTGGGACTATTTTTAAGACTGATTGTGTTTAACTGCAGATCAATGGACTGTAAAATATTAATAGAAACCATTCATCCACAGACTTAACCTTCCTGAAAGAAGCTGGCAATACAGTTGCTATGGATTACTTATGACCATAACTCCAAAAAAATGTGCTAAATTTTTTAGCAACAGAATAAAGTTCCTGTTCTCAACCTTTTTTATGCTTGAGTCATCAAGAAAATAACACAGTAAAGCTTTTTGATTTAGATCAGTAATAAAATTACAAACAATTTTAATCTTGTATAAACCCTAGTTGACTTCAGAGGAGAGACAGAAGTAAAGTATTTGCCAATATTATCACTCTTACAAGATATTTTGTAGGAATGCTGACTGAACTTTCTAGGCTAAGACTAAAAATAAGCTCATGTTGTCACTTCTCATTAGAAAAAGAATTAATATTGTCATTTTTTTAAAATGTTAATATCTTTATCATGAACTGCTCCCACTTCTTATTGTCATGCATGTAAGCCTTATCTCTGGGGTTGAGCAAAGAGCAAAGGTAGCCTCATTTTGGAGTGAAACCCAGAGATAAAACAGCAAGGAGGCTTCTGAAAGGCTTCACTTGATTGTAATCTAATTATAGGGATATTTAACTGTTACTTCTCACAAGCATGACTGCTGCGTTGGAAATTGTTGGTTTTCTTCTGTGCTTGAGTGGGTGGGCAATTATTGGAGCTACTTTGCCGAATAATTACTGGAAAGTCTCCACTATACATGGTAGTGTGATCACAACGTCTACGTTGTTTGAAAACCTGTGGAAGAGCTGTGCAGAAGACAGCACTGGAGTATACAACTGCAGAGAATTTGACTCTATGCTTGCGCTGCCTGGTATGTGACTTTGCGCAATCTTGTTTATATTGCTTAAAAATTTGTTGGAAACAAGTAGTAAAGCTTTTGTTTTGGTAATCTGGTATTACTGGAAAATAACTGTCCAAGAAGGACTTTGTGGGTTGAAGTAATAAAAATCTCTTAAGCAGCAGAATGTGTCAAGCACATTAGGAAAGGCTATAAAATAAGGCAAATTAAGTCACTTGATCAAGCATTTATTTTAATAGGCATTTTAAATATGGTGTAATCTCTTTTCTAGCATCTTGTGGGAGAAGTAATTTTTTTAACACATTTTATGACAGTTCCATATTTATTTTGAATTATTCTATAGGCCTTCTTTTGCAGTACTTGATAGCCAATGTACTGTAGCTGGATTTTTTTCATATAATAGATAAGAAATACTATTTGTAGCTAAGAAGTGGTAGCGATTTTTGCATGTTGAGACTGAAATCATAGACAATGCAAGAAGTACAATGACTATATGTTATACATATTGTAACATATTATAATATAAGTTATACAGTGAGTATATGTTATGAATTAATATACTTGTCAGGGCTTGTTAACTAATGTCTTGTTGGATGTGGGTCTAAATATCAGGAAATTTAGATCTGCTGGCTCCTGTACTCTGTATCGGTCTTCAGCAGAATTGTGGATTGTCCTCAAGTGCTCAACTAAGGCAATATTCTGTGGATAGTAAGCATGTTTATAGACAGTAAAGCTAGTTTTTATTAATCTTGAATAATTCAGTATGTAGATACTGATCCCAGAATAAAAATGCCTTCCTACTTAGTTGAATCTACACTGGGAGGTAGCTAAACTAAATAGGTAGGAGGATACTCCTAATCTGAAGAATGTGTAAGATAGTGGGAATGAAGTATTAAATTAACTTTCTTTCCCAAGTCTGAAATAAACTGATGTTGTTGACCAGCTCTGACATGAGCGTAGCAATTCTCTGAAACTGTCTGTGTCCAGTATTTCGGGAATAATCTGTTCTTTTAATCTTTCTGTGTTATCTAACAATTGTTTTTAAAATGCATGTGTGTATTAAGAGGAACATCACCCCATTTAAACGTCTTAGACTCAGCAATAGCAGGATCATGTCCATTGGACATCATCCTCTGCAAAGTGCTTATGTGAGTGTGCATTTGGTTCATGTATAAACCACTTGAAGGGCTGGTTCATAACTCACTGCCACTGACTCTAGGCAGCATCTTGTCATTAGTGTATTTACATGTGGTGTTGCCTCTGAGAGTGTCATAGAGCTCCCATCTGTGAAGATGTGGGCAATGGGGCTGCATCAGGTCAGCATCTTGGAGCTGCTGGGACAAAAGTGGGTTTTAAAGAAATTGGGGAGGGAGGGCAGAAAAGAGCATCATGAGTGGATGTCCTAAAGTGAAAGAGAAAGGGAGGCAAGCAACAGCAAGGCTCCTGGAGGAAGGAAAAAAATGCGGCCAGACACAAAGTAAATTAATAGGTCAGGCTCTGAAAGTGAATTTGTGAAGATTAAATTTGATCTATTGAAGAGGACATCAATTATGCTGTTGAGAAGATGGCAGTATATTTGAGCGGTATAGGCAGGGGGAAGGGGAAGGGAAAATCAGCTTGCAGATTTGTAGAGAAAAAGTGGTTTTAGAAAGGAGAACTGAAAAAGAAACAAGAAGTTCTTTCTACAATTCAGTTCTAACTTGTTTCCTTTCACTGAAGACACTGTGAAGACACTGAATTGTAGAAAAAGTTAGGAGGACAGTTGGGCAAACCAGGAAAGAGGAAGACAGTGGGGTTGGTAGCAATGAGGGCTGAGCAAACAGTGGGACCTCCAAGAAACGTTTGTAGCACTTGCAGATAGGAGCCAAGGAAGAGTAAAAATTATCATGGTCAGTTTAGGTGTGTTTCAAATTGACGTTTAGAAACTTAGTTGAAACTGCTGCAGCAGAAGTTGCCAGGGATTGGGGGAAGGGGAAAAAAAAAAAAGAAAAAAAACAAAAGTGTCTTTGTTACTTCTCATCAGAAGGACCATAAAGATTTCTGTGAAAGTTTCCTTATTGGCAGCTGAGCTATGTGGTAATACCTCTGGTTTTTGTTTTGTGCATAGGAAATATCAGACTTGGTTCTTTTGAACAGATTTAAAGCTTTTGAATTCAGTAAGCCATTAGCCTGAATCACAAATGATTGAAATGAGGACCTTTTTAAAAGCAATGTTGCATAAGATTGAAACCATGACTGGCTACTGTGTATAGCTAACACTGTCTCTCTAGTCACAACTAGATCAAACATTTGATATAAAGCAATTAGTTAGCTGTCAAATGCTTTTTAAACTCTTTTTTTTTTTTTCTTCTTTTTAAGGTTCCATAGATGTTTCTTCCAATGACAGGATTTTGGGATAATTTCTTGCAGTTAGTATTGTTTGATAAAATGAACTGACTTTGTATCTTGTTCAATAAGCTAATTTTTAAGATAAAGAGAACAAAAAATTGAGCTTTCTGGACTGTGAAGTAAGCTCCTCAGTCAAGGCTGTTGAGGATACCATATTGTGGTACAAAGAGGGTATGGTATGAAATCGCTTCTGTTAAAATAATACAGCCATTGGCTTGCAAGCAGTTAGCCTGAGGGTATGCTTGTGTGTCCTGGAAAGATATAGGGAGTCCCATCTAATACTTCAGGAGTCCCAAAGACCTGAAATACAAGTTGTTGGATCCCCGCTATGGGTAATTCTAGCTGCCATGGTGTAAAATCCCGAACTAGAAAGCAGCGTCGAAGTTGAGTGCTTGTCCTAACTGTATCTTCTGTAGGCAAAAACCTTGAACTGTTAATGGTACTTTGAGGAGTCTTTTCACTTTTACTACTGTCTGTATTTTTTCCCCAAAAATTTTAAAATTAGTGCTTAACAAAACATTAATTCCTCAAACAATGTTATCCTTTAATTCTGTGTATTTATCTCATGACGGCTTATTACTGTCTTTGATAACTTTCAAGCTTGCAGGACCAATACTCTTAAGCCACATAAAGCTATACAGCCCACTGAATCTGAGTGTGAATCTATCACTTCACCTCCTGTTTCTGTGCCTGATTTTTGTTGTCTGGAGAGTTATGGGCTCACTCCACTAGAAAGCTAGAGAGCAGGTTACGATGGAGGACATGGAGGTGATCATGTCATCAACGATGTGACTGTCCAGATGCAAGTCCAATTCAGACGCTTTTGATGCATGGTTAGAATCACAAAATCATTTAGGTTGGAAAAGACCTTTAAGATCATCGAGTCCAACAAAGTTAGCAGCCGAGACCTGCCAGATTGGTGACATTTGGCATGTTTCTCTCATAACAAAGGTGCGAAAATGCCATTTGACCTGGAACTTGCCAAATCTGGGTGCCATTTTAAAGGAGCCCAAAGTCCCTGTCTGACCTTCCTTCTTAGGCTGGTTAATAATCTGGTCCCGGTTTTTGTGCAATCGATACCTAAATGTGAAGACTGGGAGCTTATGTGATGCAGAATCGTCAGCATACCGAATTCCCTAACGTGCCCACGCCAGCTGTAACCTCTCTGCAGGAGTACATCTTAGGGAGGAGAGGAGTACTGCAGCTCTGGGATCTGCTCATTTCCAGCTAAGTGCACTGCTAACTTGAGCACTTTCTTTCCCATCTCTCACTGGAAGTAGCAAAGCCAGGACATTTTTCCAATTCCTCTGTAGTGCCAGAGCCCCTCACACCTTGGCTAGGACCTGGAGTTAGAGGTGTCCTGTGTGCTCAGCTGTACAGGTGTAAGGAAGTCACCAGGACTTGTGGGTAGGAGACTTATTTCTGTTCCTGCAAATGACCTTATATACCGCTACGTGTTTTCACAGGGCTTAAAGATGTAAGCTATGAAGGGCTTGCTATAATTTTTCAGGGTTTACTAAAGCCCAAGAGGATTTACTGAGCTTATAAAGTAGTAAGTGTAGTTCAACTCTGAAATCTGATTGACTTCAAGGCTAAACACTCTAGGGTTTTGATGCTTCTCTGAACCAAATAACAAAGTTGGACAGGATTCACTCCTTACTGCTCCTGTTAATTTTGTCAGTCCCTCGAATAATTTTTATTTTTTTCAGCACAAGATTCACTTAATTTCTATATAGATCCTGATGTGTTTTTTCTTTTTCTGTCTTACTCAGCTCATATTCAGGCATGCCGTGCCTTGATGATTGCTTCCATCCTTTTGGGATTCATAGCTACAGTACTTTCGCTGCTTGGTTTGAAGTGCACAAGCATTGGGTTGAGCGATGAAGATGCAAAAATGAAGTTTGCTGTCACGGGAGGATTTCTCTTTATTTTAGGAGGTAATATTGAGGCTGAAATGAGAATGCTATCAATACTTTGTATTGCTTTCACAGCTAGACTAAATGAATAGAACACTTGTTCTTGGTTTAAAGTTGTTACGGCCATTCATCATTCACCTGTGTGCTTTTTGAACTTTTTCTGGTAGGTCTCTGCTCCATGGTGGCTGTTTCTTGGTATGCTGCAATGGTTACTGCTCAATTTTTTGACCCATTGTACGCTGGAACCAAGTAAGTTAATAAATCTGTCATACCAAACTCCATCATGTGTTACAGACAGCTGCACTAACCTCAGCTGCTCCAGAGTTTCAGAACCTGGATGGATTCCATTATCCAGTCCTACAGGAGGAAAAATTTGTCTTCAGGGAATCTTTTCACCTCAGAGATATTGGTGGGGAGGGAGGAGAGTTCTCTTCTGGAAGGTTTAGTGAATGTGTGGGGAATATCAACCCCACATCTGAGGGATTCCTGTACTGTGTTTACATTTTCTTGTGAGACTCGGTGAAGTGCACATCTCAATGCTATGAAGAAGAAAAGGTAAAAGTCTTAAATTTCTTTGGCATTCAGACCAAAAGAGGTACAAAATTCTAGCTACGACTAGAATACAGTGCCTCAGACATACAAGCAAATGAAAAAATGTACAGAAACCAGATTGAACTGCGTACCAGTGACCTGCAGATAGCTGAGAAACGTCATTGAAGCATGCTGCTTGTCTTAAAGAAGTAAAAAAAAAAATAATTCACTATATATTAACAGCTCAACATTTGTTTGCCTTATGAATTAAAATGAGGCAAAGTTTGTGGGACTATAGGCTTATACAGCTGCGCACAAACAAGTTTCGAGGTATGAAAGCCCTTATTCTTGTCTGATATAAAAGCAACAGTCTTCAAACCCAAATGCCCACTTAATGGCACCTTATCTAGGCCAATAGATTTAGCAATGAGGAACAAGGGTGGAGGTGACCAGGCCTCTCCTTCAGAGGGGGGAAAAAGGGGGAGGGAAACATAATATATTGTCTGTGGAATATGAGAGAGCTGGTTTGGGGAAAAGGGAACATTTATGATTTGCCAGTACCTCTACCAAGTATGTAGTTTGTAGATCAATAAACTATAAATCTTTATTACTAGGATCATATTTGAAGTGTTTTGTAAGTTTCATTCTGAGAATCAGTTCAGGGACGTCAGAGGTGAAGTGCTTTGTTATGAATCAAAGTACTTTAAGCAATTGCTTTGCATGTTCGTCAGTTTTCCTTGTGTTTTCAAACAAGCACTTACAAAGAAATGGTGCTTGTGAATACTGTTTGTTGTTTTATATCCCCTTGAGAGAATTATATGAAGGGTAATAAATACGTTAGAGGACCAAAACAACTGTTGATAAGGAATTTCAGTTAGTGGGATAGTTGGCAAATTTTATAGTTACCTGGTATAGCTTTGGGGCTTCAACATCAATGCATGTTAATCAGTTACCAGATTGTTTGCATTCAGTAGCTGAAGAAATCTTTTTTTTTTAATATCTAAACTTCATGTTTGAGACTATCGATTCACTAAGCAGTTCTTAGTGAATCAACTTTGATCATTGCTAAAGCCAGACATGCTCTTGAGGAAGTTTGTGCTCCTTGGACTCTGTGAGACAGGTTTAAATTCAATTGCAGGCCAGTATTGATCTTCACTCTTAAGAGACTGGCAAATCTGGTTTTTTAGATTGCATTTTTTTGGCCTGACTTCAGCAAATTAGTAAAGTTAACCTTTACTAATTCTTAGAGGACTTTCTTACACAGCTGTGAAGGCAACATAAGTTCTCCTGCAGATCCCTCCTATATACTTTCCTTTGGTATGACATCTACAGCATTCCTGTCTATAGGTGACTGGTGAGCAGAGACAATTGCATGCACTGGGCAACTCTCTCTTCCTTAGTATTCCTCCAGCAACTTGCACTCCTGTTTTTTTGACATAATGGTTGTCTCCTTGTTCCATGTTTGGAGAGCACCTAAAACGGTGGAGACCTTGTGGCTCCAATGTGCAATGAGAACATGGAGAGCAGTGAACCTGTGTAAACCTCTGAAACTTTCCTATTAGCAATTAATTCTGGAGTCAGAAACTTTGACACTTTTAAATAATGATTTTGTGTTTACAAGTGGAAAGAAAACACACATATCTGGTTTCAGTATACCTTCTGTGCAGTCCATGACGCTTATTTTGCTCTTATATTAGTTATCTCAGACCACAGAGGTACAGCCGTATTGTGGATATAGTCTTTGTCCGAATATAAAAACTTGTTTGCCTTTCTTTTGCGAAACTCCTGCCAGACTTTCCCAGGCTCATTTTTGTCTAGCCCTTGGGTCAAACTCATTATCAGTGAATTTCTTGGACTGGACTAGGAGGTTTCCTGAAGGGTGTAGTTTTGTACAGTAAAATGGGAAACTATTCTTTTTCAGCCTAGGACTATTCAAAAATGTATTTCAGCCATATAATCACAGAGTGTTGAATGTTCTTTAGGATACATGAGTTAGTTAGAAAACTAGCCCTTCGTGTCCATAGAAAACTCATTTCTATGGTTAGCCTTTTCTCGTGACACAGACAGTAAGGTCCGAATTATTCAGTTTCACAAAATTACTTCAGTGGCACAGCCAATACAAAGGCAAAATAAGTGTTGTGGACTGCACAGAAGCTATATTATTATCATTTATTATCAACAATTTATTAAATATATGCAAGTATTTATTGCTACTTATCTTTGTGTTGCTTAGTACTTTCTGTGGTGTCACTAAGTTGACAGAGTGCTTGAATATACTTGTAAGAGTTTTGCTGAACAGACACAAAGCCAGATCTGTTGTTCTCTGTTATCTGTTGAAGTACCTTTCAGTTAGCTGGTTTCTACACAGACTAGAATTTGTTTGTTTGCATGATTTGTGCTCAGTCTAGCTTTGTGATCCTGTTATATGCTGCTTCCATAAAATCTTTCATGTTTCAGATATGAACTAGGAGATGCTCTGTACTTAGGATGGGCTGGATCTGTTCTTTATGCACTTGGTGGGATCTTACTGACCTGTTCATGCAAAGGGAAGAAAAAACAGGATTACAGGTAATCTTGGATTTGTCAGTTGAAATAGTGGCTGTCAATTATATACCATTTTCTATCTGTATACTGTTCTCTCTCCCTCACCCCCAGTATACATCTGTAGCCATATGAAGTGCAAACAGGAAATTGTGCCATTAATTCAGTGCTATGGCGTGTCACAGACTTGTGACGGCGGGGGATGCTGTACCAAATATTTGTACATCCCAGAGGGTATACTTGCAGATACTTTGCCATCAGCGGTCACCTGTAACTGGTATTTGCTGATTCTGGGTACTGATGATGGTTCTGAGATCTACATGATGAAAAAGTGCAGTGAAAGAGTGAAGTATCTATTGCCAAAAGAAAAGTATGTAAAGGAATATAGTGTATTATAATCAAGTTTTTCTGCAATACTCAATACTATTAAAATACTCAAAACACCATTTAATTTGCAGAGAGTGTAATGGCATTTCCCTAGCAAAGCATATCCAATTGATCATTAGACACATATGATTTTTTACTTGTTCCTTATGGAAATGTCTTGTTGTGCATCAAGTCAGAAAAGTTGAGATTTCTGGCCTCAATATTTAACCTTGCCTGGATTTTTTTTTCAATCTTAAAATATTCACACATACATAAGGTCCCTTTCTGAAGGAGAGTGATGAAATTGTCAGAAGTAGCAGAGGTCCATGTCTACCCAGAAGAACCCAAATGGCTTGGAGGCTGTACTGGCTAAGCTTGAGAGGAGGATAACATGGAAGGAAGAAGCATGCTCACTGCTGCTGTAGTTAATCTTAGAAAAGTTATGTCAAAACACCTAATAAGTGAGAGTGTTCCTCTGATACTCCATTGCCTAATCTGAAGCCATTTAAGTTTTATGGTAATATTTCATCAGCCACATTAGATCTTGCTCACCATACTTTCATACAAAGTCCCAAATATCCTGAAATGTCTTGAAAATCAGGTAAAACTGATGTGTGAAATAGAAGTTCAACATGACGAATGACAGCTGAAGGGGCTGGCTGAAGATACTTCTGTTTTCCTTTCTCATCACCTTGATTCCTGTATTAAAAACTGCAGCTTGCACAAAGGCGTTAAGGTCCAGGTTCTCTTCTGCATTAGGGACTGACTAAAATGCCTTGAGGAAGAGCACATGTGAGTTAGGAATCCAGAGTGTGTTTCTGGTCAAGGGCGATGGCTGTGCTGCCTGTCAAAGAGCCCATCTCTTTTCCCTTAACTACAAGGCTGATGAGAACAATAGGCCTCTCATTTCTGCACCTTTGTGAAGTATGTGCTGTCGGAGGGTTGGATACAGACCCAAATGAGTAACTAGTGTGTAATAACTATTATTTTGTATCTTTCTTTTCTTAATTTGCAGTTGCAACAAATATGCATATTCAGCAGGCCAGGCAGCTCATCAGCAGCGCGTTTACACCAAAGACTCTGAGACAGTCATAAGCAACAAGGAGTATGTCTAAACTTATCGATCACATCACTTGTAACGTTAGTAGGTTATGAACTCAAATAAAGAAGTGAACTACTTCCAGGGTTCTGGTTCCAAGATGCAATCTTTCATCTTAATTTGGAGCAGTACAAGGAGGAGGTATGGTTTTCAATGTAAATAAGAATGGTTTTCTGGGAATGGTTTTCAAATGTAAATAGGTTTCTACAGAAAACGCTGTGATGTGAAATCTTGCGGCATGAAGGTTTTCTGTGTGCTGAGAAGCCTGGTAAAGTTTAACCACAGAGTGCCCTGTATCCTGACAATCAAGAGCAACTGTTTCTATTTCAGCTGACTCAAAAATGCGGAACTGATATGCTGTAGCTGACTGCAAGTTAATACGCCTCACAGTTAGTTAGGAATGTGTTGTGTTTTCATAATGTTTAGCTTCCTACTTTTGTTTAGCAGCTTTAGCTTTTGACAAGAAATAAACTTTATTCCACAGACTGACTGCAACAGATTTTTTGATGAGTGGTATCCTGGCCATTTATTAATGTATAAATGGGTATAGTCTATAGGGTATAGTCTATATACTCTGGGCTCGAAGTCTCATGTTATACTGAAATTCATATCAAGTATGATAGTCCAGTTTTATAAAAGCTACACAAATTCCCTAACAATGACTCACCTCCAATCTACAGATGTGCAACAAATTTCTTGTTGGTTGTAATGCAGATACCAAAGATAAACAATACAGAATGAACCAAACACAGCTGGGAGTGGAGAAAGTGTCTGGTGTGAAAATGCCCAAGTAGATGATAGCCCCATTTTTTAAATTTTTATTTCTATGTTTTCAGCTTTTAAAATAATCCTATTTTAACTTTGAGCAATCTTTAACTTTGGGAACTTCTGCTGCATGTGAATTGTCTAATTCTTGTAATTCCCCAGTGACTTTATTCTCCGTCATTGTTCCACCACTAGAATTTCTGCCTTAAACTACTCCACTGCTGGGAGCATATGTTTGCCTTGTGTAAGCACTTAGACAGATGACGAGGAGCTAACATTACTTCGTATTGATGCTTTGAGCAACGTGGAATGGAATTTCACACTGCAGGTTCACAGGTTTCATAACTTGTCCCTTTTAAATTACAAATGTATTAATACAGTTTGACAAAATAACCTTAGCATTTCTCTCTACTTTTAACATCTTATGATAAACATAATTGTAGTCTGATTTAGAAGCTTTGTGCAGCTTCCTTGATATCCCAGTAGATAATTTCACAGGGCAACCTGCAAGTGGTCTTAGCAGAAATGATTTAGCCATGTTGCTTGCATGCAGATATAGCTGACTTGTAAACCGACGCATTAAGGCATGGATTGGGCACTGATAGATCTTGCTAGGCTTAGCAAGGGGAGCTAAAAGGAGTGAGGATTACTTTTGGATTGCCCATGTCATCTTTTTCCCTCCACTATCAACTACTCTTTTAAAATCATCCCTTTGGTATTTTGGAGAATAATTTCAAAAGCTGAAAAGGCAACTAACTTGCATGGTGGGAGCTGAAATCCTTACCATTGTCTGTATATTCTGTCCTCTGGATTTTTAGGTAATTTTGTGATGGTATTTTGGTCTAGTTGAACATAAGGAAAATGCAGAGCTCAGGCAGCGACTAAGCACTCCAGTATCAGTTTCTTACCAAAGGCTGTGTCAGCGCATGAACATGAATTATGATCGAGTAGGTGAGACAGAAATTCAGAACTTCCTTGGTCTGGCATCAGGTCTTCTAGTGATGTCACCGGGAAGTTTAATTAAAAAACCAAGATTAAAATCCCTATGTAGTAACTCCTTCATTCATTCAATACATTGTTACCGTGTTCAGTGTCATTCAGGGGAAAATAAATGCTGAAGGTACCATGCCTTTCGCTGGTTTGTTTACACTCCTTCCAACCATTTGCTGTTTCTGTTGTTTCTCCTTGCTTATCTGCCCCTTTCCCAGGCACTTTTAACGGCAATGCTCTGAATGAATTTAATGAACCACCATTTGGGGAGTAAGGCATTTTATGTATAGGTGATATATGAAGCGATTATTTTTTTTTTTTAGATCTGTAGCAAGCCACTTTAAAACATCTTCACACATTGCTATTTTTAAGTCCTTTGCTCAGCAGATCAGACTGCTTTGGCATCTGCAAATCTTGTTCGTATCTCTGCAGCTGAGACCAAAATCCTGCATTGGGTTCTGCTACTGGTCTGGCAGTCTTCACAGTCTAGGAGAAAGGAGAGACATTGTAGAAGTAAGGGAAGGTATCATGCAAACAGATTTTTTTTCTTCTTAGACTTTTGAGAAGATTTACTTAGGTTTTGATTTGGCTACGGAATAATCAACAGATATTTTGGTGAGCTGATCTCACTCTGTGCTTGCTAAGACTTCGTGGCACGTGGTGCCTGTTACAGAATGGATTCATGGGCAAGACGTGAAAAGGAGATGTTGAATTTGCTGGAAATGTGACTGTCTCTCACAAAGTGTGGTGACACCGTGCATGTTTAAGATAGCGTGAAACTCAGTCATGTATCTGCACGTCTCTGTCTAGTACCGAGCAAAACGGTTATCTAAATTAGAGACTTCAGTGATATACCTACCAAATGGGTGAAGACTAAAAGACTGTACAGCACAAGTCATATGTATTGGACGGGCTTCCTAGTAAAGTTGCAATGCTATTGCTCGTAGCTAGCTAGTCCCAGGCTATTCAGCAGGCCTAACAGATGATGTTTCTTTGCTGTGTTGAGCTGTCACATCAGTAATAAGAGCAAATCCTGCAAAACAACCTCTGCACATGCTCGCATCTGTTTCACTCATTTGCTTTATTTCTCTGTCTCTAACTTCACTTATCACGACTAAGCAAATGATGGGGAAAATGTTCACAAAACAACCAACTTCGCATATTTGCTACCAGTGCTTAAAGACTGTTTGCATTTGTAATTATATTTGTTCCAGAAACCTCACAGTGAAAGCTTATTTGTCCAAGTTAGGGGTGAAAAAACTTAGAGTGAAATTTTTATTCAAATGTCGAGTATCTATATAACTGCTAATAAACAGGTGAGAGCACCAAAATAATTCTATGAGAAATCATCATTACTCATAGTAAGCACTGCATTTCTTGCCCAAAAGTTGTCTATATATAAATCTAGGTATAAGTACAATACCTCAAAGGCATCCTTGAGCGGGAGCTTTCGGTGTCTCATCAAATAAGCAGTGCAAATGGCAGCTGATCGGCTGCGGCCGTTTTTACAGTAAACTAAGCACTTCCCAC